GGAGCAGCAGGCGAGGCAGGAGAGGTCTTCTGCACTATGTGGGTCACCTCTATCTGGGATCGAACTCTTGAAGTGCTATGGCTAGCTTCGTAGTGCTGTGCTTTAACCTGTTGTACCACCAGCACCTCTGGGTGACATCCCAGTTCTTGTATGTTTAAATAAATATTTTTTAAAATCCCTAACCCTTTGCACTTGGATGGAAGGTGGTGCCCTCCCCCCACAAGAGAAGTGGGAAAGTTTTCCTTCTCAGCTCTCAGCACAGGCAAATGGTGTAGAGTCAGCCAGTCATATTGTCTGCCCTGGGCTTTAATTGGGAGCCAGTGACACCAAGAAGCAGGAACAGTGCACATTCATTCTAGTGGCCATAACTGCAGTTATCTGGAGTTCTGGGTGGCAGTGGCAGCGTTGATGTCACAAGCTGCTATCTCTGGAGTCACAAAGGTGGTCATGGTATCTGAGTCTGCAGCAGGATTGGGCTCTGACCACAAGCCTTCTTGTCCTTGTCCATTTTCAGTGGCTAGTTTGCCAGTGTTGCCAGAAATGGTTATTGCCCCATATTCTTTCCTGCTCACCAAATAAGGACTCACCAAATAAAGACCTTAAATTGGTTCACCTGCCCCTTGCAGCGTGGCGCCTGCCTTCCCACGCTCACTGGCTGCACAGCTTTCTGGGAGTTCCTGTCCATCGCTCCTCTCAGCACTCCACACAGCAGTCACCATGACTGTGAAGGTGACCATTTACTCCTTCCTTGAGCTCTTCCTTTGTTTCCTGGAGTTCAAAGGGAAATCAAAGGTCACTATCTGTACCAAGGGCCCTCCTACCTCCCTGATAAATAAGCATGTGTGGGTACAACTTTGGGCCCTAGGATTTTAGAACAGCAGTTTTAAATATTCATATAGCTGCCGCCGTTTTTTTATTTAAAAATACTCTTTTCAGTCTGGGAAAGGAATTGGTGTCCTGCCAGAGCAGAACTGCTTTTTACATGGAAAATAGCTGAGGAGATGGGATACAGTAACTCTTTTAGAGAGCCTTCTCTAAAAGGTCCAGACATCCTAGAGGACAGCTTTTAGGTGGTGTAGTGAAGAATCACCTAAGACAAGTCCCAGGAGGTTGCAGAGTACAGAAAAATCACATCTATGTGGAGCCCAGTTTTCCTCTTGAGGGTGGGCTGGACATAATGATTAGCTTCTAAAGAACAGAATAAAGTGGAAGTGACTGCACAGCTGAAATCTACCTAGGACCTCTTAGTGACCAGACAACAAGATTTACTACCTGAGTGGGGGTATTTGGACGTCATGGCGCTGGAGTGTGTCACACTGCAGCTTTGGACACTGCTCTCTGGTTGGAGGGGGAGGGAGGCGCACTTGCTAAAAGGAGGGGGTGGGTTCTGTTCTCCAAGGCCCAAGGCGTTCTTGATTAAAACAAGAAAAGGGTGATAGGGCCCAGCTGACCTCCTAGGAGTCAGGGGACAGTAGAGGATAGAGGAGCCCCATTCAGCCCTTCCACAGTGTACTGCAGCCTGCCCCAGGGGCTCTGCAGGCCCTGTGAATTGTGCTGGACCTACCACTGCCCCAGGTCTGAATCTGGCAGCCAGAACTTTTAAAAGTAGCCCCTAAACCACACTTGTTCTTCCCCCTACATTAAAGGCAGTTGGGAGAGAAGTCACAAGGTCTTCCTCTTAGTTGACTGAAAAAGGAGGTGAAATTGTGTAGTTTTGTGACTGGAGCATTATTACACTGCAGCTGATGCAGTCAACTCCTAGCTTTTTGGTTTTGAATTAAGATACGTTTTCTGGGCCAACTGTACTTCTTCGTCCACAGCCTTCCCCCAGCCCATGTCAGATTTTGTTCATGGGTTCCTGCAGTGTCCCCCCAGCCCTCACTACCCCACCCACTAGCATCTGTGGGAAGGCTGGTCTGCAGCGGGGCCGCCCCCAGACATGGCAGGGAAGGAGTCCAAGGATCAATTCTCTTTCTTGAGAATCCCAGGGAAAAGCAAGGTGGAAATGACCCAGGATACTATAAGGCTGGTGGAAAGCTCAGGGCAAACAAACCTCTGCCTTCAAATGGGGGAAAACGGAGAGAATCAATATGGAAAGAAACCCAAGTGGGGGAAAAAATAGCCTGCGAGGCGTCCTGAGTGGCGCCTCTCATGGAAGAGGCAGCCGCGGGCTGAAATGTGGAGCGCGCCCTGCGGTCTCGCCCCTATCAGAACCACCTGTGCCCTTTACAAATTCGCACACCTGGCCGTTTACAAACCCGCACACCTGGCCCTCGGCTCTAAAAGGCGCCCGTGGAAGGCTGGGAGCGGGCGCACTGGAAGCCCTGTTACCAGGGGGCTGGCGGGGCGCCCTCCGCTCGCGGGGCTGCACCGGACCCAGACCCAGCCGCAGCCCGCTGTCCGCTGCCCGGCGCTGCTTTGCCTTCTCCCCCATTCCTGACCTGCCCCGGCGCCCCAGTCCCAGCGGGTAAAAGGGGACAGCGTCAGCGCCACAGGAGCCAGAGCGGCCCGGACCTGACGCCGCGGGACGCGAGGAGCAGCGGCCAGTCGGCCACGCGGCCACTTTTCCGGAGCATCCGCCACCCGAGAGCGTCCCGACCCGACCCTGCGCTTCCCGGCGACGGCTGAGTGAGTGCCAGTTTCTTTTCCACGCACGGTCTTGAACTTTCACGGGCCGGTCTCCTGCCGAGGGGTGCGGGGCCACACGGCTTGGCGTGGCGGTGGGTGGGCAGCCCGCGTGCTGGGAGGCCACGAAGGCCTCGGGCTTGGGCGGGCACCAAGGTGTGCCACGTGGGCACCGCAGGGGGCGCCTGGGCCGCGGTTCCAGGGCTGCAAGTGCGCTGAGTCCAGCAGACTGTTGGCAAGGGTCGCTCACGGTGAAAACCTGACCCCTGTGGTTGTGGAACTCAAAAGGCTGGAGGTGCCCGGCAGTGCCCTCGGTCTGCTTTGCCAGCCTCGCCGTTGCGGTGGCCGGGTAGGGTGGTTGGCGCCGAGGTGCCCGCGCGGCCCTTCGCCCAGGCCCCCGGGGCCGCCTCGCTCTGGCGCGTGTAGCCGCGGAGGCCGCCCGGGTGGCGCCGGACGCGTGGGCCTGGTACGGTGGGGTCACGTGCTGGAACTCGGGGGGAGTTGGGGGCGCAATGGTCGGCGTTCGCGTCGAGGGGCTTGATTTCCGCGCTGTGGGTTCTGAGCTCCGGAGCTCCGCCGTCGTTTCTGTGTGAATTAAAGAGAAAAAAAGTTCACGCGGTTTCTGAAGATGAGAAGGTTCTAAATGTCCGAGCCGTTTTGGAGAAGCAAAATAATGCAAAACACATGAGGACATCTGCTAAACAAAATGAATAGAAGTGACGTTACACAAATCAGGCCCCGTATTACAGGCTGGTGGTGTTCCCCGGGTGGCGCTCTCAGGCCTGGGCTCTCTGGGGGTGGACTTGTGGTGTCCGTACAGGCGCCAGTTGCCACCGTTTCGCGGAGGAACCCCAGGGCCGGTCCCCTGGCGGGTCTCACCCTGGTGTTGCCACAGAAGGAGCACCGAGCTGGGAGTGCAGGCTCATGTCAGTTTCCTACACTCTTTTCCCGAGGGAGGCACCATAACGGTACCCTGTTTTCCGACGAATGGAACCCATTTGGTGCCCTGGCACGTAGTGTGGCAAACGGGGTCCGAACCCAAAAAGCACGCTTGAATTTGTGTGTGTTGTGTGTGTGTGTGTGTGTGTTATGTGTGTGTGTGTTGTGTGTGTTGTGTGTGTGTGTGTGTGTGTGTAAATGTTTCCTAGAGAGGTGGGTAAGAGGGCACAACTGAAAGATGTCAGCAAGGCTGTTCTTTGTAGAACAAGAATAAAAAATACCAGCACTTTATTCAACCCCAGTTTAATCAGAACCCCTTTCCCTTGTGGTCTCTCCTATGGCATCCAGCAGGCAAACTTCCCCAGCTGCGATTGTGAAAACCCAAAAAGGTCATTAGGGAGCTGAGTGACCAGCCGAACAAACAGATGAATGAAAAGTTAAAACAACTGAATAAATCACTTTAGGGTTGTTGTCCTCCCCCTTTTAGAGTAGTTGGCTCTCCCTGGTGGTGCAAGGGGTTAAAGCACAACGCTGTGAAGCTGCCCACAGCTTCTGCA